TGCAGCTGCTGCATCTTCTCTGCCTCAGTCTCCTGGTCCTGGGATGCATCCTGAATGGTAAGAGGGAACCTCTCAGGCTGCCTTTCTTGTGGAAGGGAGAGGATGCAGTTTTTTGCTCTCCTTTGCATTTCCAGCAGGCTTTTAGATGGATCCATGGCTGGGGTGCTGTCACAGCCCTCCTGAGTCCTTTGCTTGTAACCTGTCCCAGAGGGACTATGTCCCGCTCAAAGTCCAGGCAGGAGCCTGCAGTGCACTGGGCCTGGCAAGTTGTGCTTGGGAAAGGCTGTGGAGCAATCCTGCCTCCAAGTGCCCTATCCCAGCCTGTGCACACTGGGCTGGGATCGCCTTGGTCCCATTCTCCCCAGCACACCAGGGGACCATCCCTGGCTCCCTTTGGCGTGGGTCAGCCTGGGGGCAAGCGGCAGGGCTGGGAGTGGGAGGGAAGGCATGAGATCGGGCACAGCTCATGTTTGAGGGGCTGCTGGTGTTGGACACGAGCTTTGCATGGGTCACAGCTGTCTGGGTGGGTGACAATAGGCCCTCTGCTCCGCTGCGGGGAGCTGGGGAGCCCGGTGGTGTCGCACCATACCTTGCTGGCTGGGGCCACAGTCATCCCGGGACACTGCCAGCCTTGGTGGGCATCTAGAGTGAGCGCAGCATTTGCTGGGAGGGTGACCGAGGTCCCCTACCCTGCAGTGACGTGCAGACAGCTGTGTCCCTCGGCTGTCACAGGACTGGTCAGCCTGGGGCGGGCTGGTGATGGGGCAGCTGCAAAACCTATGACTGCTTCAGCAAATAAAGCTGAATTCATCCCCAGCCCCTCAGGAGTTGGTGTCGGCATTGCAGCAGCCCGAATCCGGGTAAAGACCCCTGCCCTGCCTTGCTTGCTGCTGGGGCTGGCCCTGGGGGTGCGGGAAGGACCCAGGCACGCAGGAGGTTTGCCCTCCACCAACCTGCTGTTTCTCATCTCCTTTGCTGCCTGTCAGAAGGAGGCAAAGGGCTCCTGGCGCCAGGGTGTGGGAGCAATAAAGCTTGTGCCTGCGTGTGCAGCCGGGGCAGTGTGCGAGGGCATCGCTGGCGGGCACCATCCTGCCCTGCTCCGCCGGGGGGGCCCCGCCGCCCCTTCTC